CGTGGCGTCTGAGTGCGTGTGCGTGTGGCGTTGTGCGTGTGCGCGTTGTGCGTAGTGCGTGTGCGTGTGCGTGTGTGTGTGTGTGTGTGTGCGCGGGTGCGCGGGTGCGCGGGTGCGGGTGCGCGGGTGTGCGGGTGTGCGGGTTTGCGGGTGTGCGTGTGTGTGTGTGTGTGCGTGTGTGTGCGTGTGTGTGCGTGTGCGTGTGTGTGTGCGTGTGTGTGCGTGTGCGTGTGTGTGTTTGTGTTGTAAGAACACGCACACACACACAAAACAAACACACACACACACACACGACACCGAAAATGCGCGGGGAATGGGCGTCCGAGCGACGGCAAGAACTCCACTGTCTCCCAAGTCGCCGCCTCGAGGCTCCTGGTGGTGACAGACAAGAAGGGGCAGAAGGCCCGCGGCCTTCCGCGCCGGTTGTGCCTGCTGCTGCCGCCGTGGCCTCCCGCAGTTGCGGCAGCCGCGGCCTCCAGCGTTACGTCGGGCAACTCCCTCTACGGGAGGAATGCTCAAAAATAGTTCACAAGAAAAAGTCCGGGGACGATGCGTTGGCTATGTTGGGCAATGCGTGCGTCTTGTTTGAGCCTCTCTTCCGAAATCCCCCTTAGGAGGACATGCCCAACCTGACGCTGCTGGGGGCGAGCTGAGACCACGGCAGTCGGCCGTCGGGGATGGGGGGTGGGCCTCGTCGCCACGGCTGGGCGCAGCTCGGCACACCTGGTGCGCTTGGGCCCGTCGATGGGGTCCGGGGGAGCGGTTTTGAGCTGCCGCTGCCTCAAGTCGCCCCGCTCCGAGCCTCGGCGGTTCATCCCCGCCGCGCTGCCGCAGACTCCTGGTGGCGGTGCCCCCGTGGCTTCCGCAGCGGCAGCCTTCGCAGCCTCCTGCGCCAGTGCCTCCGCCGCTGTTGCCGCCCTCGGCCTCGGCGGCTCATCCCCAAGTTCCCTCATCATCTGGAGCGCCCTCAGCACGCCCCCGATTACTTGCACAGTGACGCGATCGTTTGTCCAGAATGCGTCATGCCTCTATTTGGTTCTTTGTTGTGGCCAGGTTGGCATGTCTGCGCTGAAGGCAAAGGCCCAACAATAGAGGAATAACTTCGAACCTCACACACCAGATGGTACTGTCTTGAATGTCTCCTGGTAGTCACATGTTTAAAGTGTTTAAATCAAGGTGCGGTGTATCGACTTCGTTGGCCCTGTTCGGACAAAGCAAGCCCATTCGAGTGGTTTGCGAGACCCGTCTGCATGGCTCGCAGGTCTGATCTACAGATTGTGACGCTAGCTGAATAAGTTCGGTATTGAGGGGATCGAAACACTTTCTTTTGTGCGACGTGTGGCGCCCACCTCAGCATGCAGTCAGCACACCCTCGTTTCTCTGACACCTCTCATCGTTGCATGGTCCCTTACCCTTTTTCGTCGCCACCGTCTTGATAACGTTGAACTCACCTGTTGGCCTGGACAGCACTGGTTGGCCAGCAAATTCCTCCCGTTCTAGAGCACGGGCATTTGGTGCAGCATGCGTTATGGAAGTCCCACGGAGCGGTTGCCGAACGGCTGTATCGCCGAGCAGCCGAGCGTGATCCGCTTGCGGCCGTACGTCATGTTGGTCATCAGCTTTGCCTGGTCGCACGGCCCTCGTGGTAGTAGCAGTTCTGATCGAGCCAGAACCGGACGATCGGCGTCGACCTTTGAGCAGCAAGACTCAAGCGTTCCCTGACGCAGGCGACAGTAGTAGCTGTGGTGGTCCAGGACTGCATCTCGGTAAATCTAACGCACTCTCGGACCGGGGTATAAGATCGAGGTCGATTCGGAGAGGGTACCCAAATGTTCTTTGTATTTGTTGGATGTTCTTGTGTGTATCCTGGGGGAGGACAACCTCGAATGTCCTTCCGTATGGGCCAGCGGAGGGCCTCATGTTCTTGGAGGGTGGTATTCTGTCCCAGGTCTGGCTGCAAGACGCGAGGATCAATGACACCCCGTGTAAAGCACGCCCTTGTGATCTTATGACATATGTATGCTGGTGCAGCCTGGCGGCCCCGATAGCGGACTCTCATGGATACGCTGTCCGCGGGGGTCTTGGACGTGTCGGCAAGAGGCCCTCTCCTTCGGCCAGTGTTAGAGGAGGAGGAGGAGGAGGAGGAGGAGGAGGAGATAGGAGGAGGAGGAGGAGGAGGAGGAGGAGGAGGAGGAGTTGAACTCCTCTTCCGTCCAAGAAGAGAAAAACCACAAGCACACGCCTGTGGAGCTCCGCGCGGATCTCTTGGATCCGCGCTGGGCCACCCCTGGCGGCGCCACCGGCGCCGCCCCTGGCGCGCTCCGCGCGCCGGGGAGGGAGGTCCAGCGCGGATCCAAGAAATCTGCGCGGAGCGCCACGAGTTTATGTTTATGCCGCTTTCTCTTCCTCTAGATAACCCCAGGAAGCATTTAAGAACCCCTCCCACCCCCCCCCCCCCCTTCCGGCAAATCGATAACCCTTCCGCACCCTGGAAGCGTTACCTGGCACCAGGAGCCCTCCTCCTCCTCCTCCTCCTCATCCTCCTCCTCCTCCTCTCCTCCACCCACGAACTTCCTCCTGCCCCCTCCTCCTCCTCCTCCTCCTCCTCCTCCTCCTCCTCCTCCTCCTCCTCCCTCCTCCTCCTCCTCCCGCGCCCCCCCCCTTCCCTCGGGGCCCAAGGCCTGTCAGGGCACAAGTCACCTGGGGTTTCCCCTCTGGGCCTTCTCCTGAGCAGGAGGAGGAGACGAGATGAGGAAGAATCCTAGATAAATCCTTAGGAATCCCTAGGACACCCGCAGGAATAGAACTGGATTGTTTTTTTCGCGTGGCCGGGTGCTAAGATAACGCCACGGTGCGGGGGGGGCGGGATGCCCTCTCGTGGACCTCCCCCTAGGACGGCCGATGAAAATCAATTTCTAGAAGGGTTTTGAATGAGAAATCTCTTCCAAGAGGCCGGCAGATCAGAAGAGAGAAAAGGAGGAGGGGGAGGAGGAGGAGGAGAAGGAGGAGGAGGAGGAGGAGAAGGATGAGGAGGAGGAGAGGAGGGGGAGAAGGAGGAGAGGAGGAGGAGGAGGAGGAGAGGAGAAGGAGGAACAAGACAAGGAACATGAACAGGAAAAGGAGGAGAAGCAGGAGCAGGGAAAGCTTCTCAGTTGTCTCAGTTTTCTCAGCTTTCCCAGGTTTCTCAGCTTCCCCAGGTTTCTCAGCTTTCCCAGGTTTCTCAGCCTTTCCAGTTGATTCAGAACGGATCGTCGGCAGATTGTCCTGTGTCTTGCCCAGGTCAGATTGGATTCTTGATGAGATGGAAGCGTCGCTCACAAGTCTGAAGCACTGGAAGGAGAGGAGGCGATGGAGGAGGAGGAGGAGGAGGAGAAGAAGAGAAGGAGGAGAACGAATGTTTAGGAATCTCTAGGAATCCTCAGGAATCCTGAGGACCCTGTAGGAATCCTTAGGAATCCTAACATTCATGAGGAATCCCCTGGAATTTGTGACGAGCCCTTAGGAATTTAAAGGAGTCTTCTGGAATTCTGAGGAATCCACAGAAAGCTTTAGGAAAGCGCAGGAATCGTAAGGGAATCCTTAAGAATCCTAGATAAATCCTTAGGAATCCCTAGGACACCCGCAGGAATAGAACTGGAGTGTTTTTTCGCGTGGCCGGGTGCTAAGATAACGCCACGGTGCGGTGGGGGGCGGGATACCCTCTCGTGGACCTCCCCCTAGGACGGCCGATGAAAATCAATTTCTAGAAGGGTTTTGAATGAGAAATCTCTTCCAAGAGGCCAGCATATCAGAAGAGAGAACAGGAGGAGGAGGAGGAGGAGAAGGAGGAGGAGGAGGAGGAGGAGGAGAAGGAGGAGGAGGAGGAGGAGAGGAGGAGGAGGAGGAGGAGAAGGAGGAGGAGGAGGAGGAGGAGAGGAGAAGGGGGAGCACGACAAGGAACAGGAATTCATAAGCAGTAAAGGAAAACCTTTAGGACTCTTAAGGAATTATTACGAATCTTTTGGAATTCTCCAGATTCCTGAGGAATCCTTTGGATTCCTTGGAAATATTCAGGAATCCTTGGACATCCTTTGAATCTTTCTATGAATCCTGACGAATCTTTGTGAATCCGTAGGAATCCTTGAGAATCCTGCGGAACTTGTATGAAACCTGATGGATCCATTCATGTCGTTAGGAGTCATCAAATATGCTTGCGAGTATTAATACTATTATCATTGCATGAATTTTCCAAGCAGCAAGCGACATCCTGAGTCTTTCATGAGAGCCACGCAGATTTGAATTTCGAATTTCGATTGTGGCCTAGGGGCCAGGCCTCCGCGAATTTGTTTTGTGTCCGGGTGCTAAACCTATCGTTCGGTTATTTCGGCCCCTCGGAATATCGAATAAAAATGCGGTGCCGAGATATCGCCGGGGGGGTTTTTAAATGCTTCCTGGGGTTAAACAAGCAAAAGCGTCGTTGGTTCACCAGCGGAGCGCACGGCAAGGAGGGCGCGAGGCGTTTTCTTTTGTCGCGGGAGGCCTCCCGGGGGGTTCTCGGCGGCAGGTTCGCAGCCTTTTGGGGGGCCGTTTTGGAGCCTCCTGGGGCGTTTTGGGGCCCTGTTGGCGGCCTCTTGGGGCCTCAAGGGGGCCTCTTGGAGCTTGTCGGTTTGCCGGCGGACGGCACGCCGAGGAGGGCGCGAGGTGGGGCCTTCAAGAGGCCAGGGGTTTCCTGGAAGCCTTCGCGCCTCCCAGGAGCGATCGCCGGAGGCCCCTCCGAGCCCTGCGGAGAAGCCCTGCCTTGTTTGGAGTGCCACCCCCCTCGCCCTACCCCTCCTCCTCTCCTCCTCCTGCAGCAGCGCTGTGGAACGGGGGCGCCAAAGTGGAACAGAGCGTGCAATGCTGTTGTGTACATGCCTGGCCGCACAATTGCGGCTCAGGCGGCTGTTTTCGAGGCGGCGAATGGATTTTCGCTGGGGCTCATACCTTCCGAAGTTAGCTCCGTCCCCAGCTCCCGCGACCAGTCTTGATAGCGTTGTCTCGCCCTGTGCCCTGGCGATATCGACCGCTGCCAACGCTTGCATTTCGCAGACCCACGTCTGGGGTGCACCGGTGCCCTTCGGCTCGGCCGCGGTGGCAGCAGGAGCCAACCGTTTTTTGGGCATCTTCGTGGCATTAACAGTGCAAGCGACGGTGTGTGGTTGCCTCCTTTCGGTGCGGGTGTTGTTGTGGAGCTCGACCAGGACGGAGTCGGCGGTGATCCGCAGGCCTGCCACGTTGAGAGACGCCGCCAAAAAGGAAGGTCGCCAAACGGGCCTTGAATTTGCGGCCACGGGGCGTGATCTTCGTCGATTACGGCGAGGAGGGGGAACCTTCGCATGAGCGTATGATCTTGGCGTTCGTCACAGCTGCCACATACATCATCGGGGCGCCTGATAGGGACGCGCACAAGGAGACGTTCGACTCGACCAACGTGGCGGACTTCAGGCAGGCGGGCCCGAGAGGAAGTCTTCCCGCTGGTCTTGGGGCGGCGCGCGGGAAGCCGATGTTCCGCTTCAGCGACAAGGCTGAGGCGGAGGAGTTCGACGACCTTCGGAGGGAAGCGGCCTCTCTGGCGGCCAAGACGCGCGAGGAGCGGGGCCTGCCGCTGGAGGAGCCAGGTCCGGAGCCGGGCAGGCTCTTGCCCTTGGGGTCACCGGAGGAGACGCCGCCAGCGGATGGTCGGCTTCGTGCCGACTGGTGCTGCGTGGTAGGCCCTGAAGAGGTTCGCAAAATGCAAGGTGTTGTCTCTGCCAGACGTGTTGGAAACGACCTCGGAGCTGTTCGCGGGCATTGGCAAGTACGGGGTGTACGATGCCGGCCGCAAAGGGCAGAACTCCATCATGCTTCGCCTGAAGGACGGGGAGGACCCGGAGGAGGCGACGCAGGCGTTTGCGGGCCAAGTTTCGCCCGCATCGGCGGTTTCGGGGGGCAGGACTCCGTTTGCACCCGTGGAGGACGCGAGGACTCTCTCCATCTTGCGGGAGCCGGCGGGGCAGAGGTGCAGGACGATGCGGAGCGTGGACGACAGTTCGGAAAAGAGGCAGTTCGACGACTGGGTGCTGTCGGGGCCTCGGACTACTCTCTACGTTTTCTCGGAGATCGCCGCGACGAGCGGCGGCCCCGCGCAGCGGCACGCGACTTGGAAGCATGACATCAAGCGGAACGATGACGAGCACAGCGTCGCGACCCATGAGATGCTGTCGGAGATCCTCGGGTCGACGTGCACCCACGACCAGGTGGACGCCGCCAACCTCGCAAGCCTGGAGGCGCCGGCCCGCCACATGCAGTTCATAGAGCACAAGGTGAAGAAGAAGAAGAAGAAGAAGAAAGAGGCGGGCAAGAACTTCGACCCGCAGGACTACTACCTGGGCAGGGCGCGACCGACGGGAGGGGCGATTGCGAGCCCGGAGCTGCTGAAGTGGGTGGCCGAGTCGGCGGCCAGGGACTCTGTTTTTCCGAGGAAGACATGAAGGAAGACGAGGCTGAGGAGTGGCCAACTTCAGTTGGCACCAACATGCCGTTGGGGCGCATGGTGCCGAGGGACTTACCTTCCTTGACCACGGCGCCGCTTACCCCGGCACACGGAACCAGGAGTTTGCCTCGGCGCACCGCGCAGAAGTTCGGCCGCGATACTGCGATCGGCCCACGCGCGAACGACTGCATCGCCGCCCCGAACAACACGCACGGGGACGGCGATTTCTGCTCGGAGGCTCGCCCTTCAGAGGCGCAGTTTTCAGCTGCGGATATGACCTGGCGCGCGGTCGCGAAGGACAAGCCGCCGGAGGCGCCCCCCAGCCCTGAGGCAGCCCTGACGGAGTTGCTCGGCTCGGACCACCTGGGCCGCGGTTGAAAAGGCCCCACTGCGGTTGCGCCGTATGATCGCGATTTGGTTTCGCGGCCTGAATCGGCGGGCCGCGTCAGCTTGCTGGGGGCGCCGCTGGAGCCCCGTCGCCCGGAGGCGTTCGACGGCGAGAGTTCGCCATTACTTTGTGCCGACGAGGTCCGCCCGGGAGCCGCCGAGGTCCATTGGGGGAAGATTTCGCGCAACAACAGGAACGAGCGCGCGGCTTTCGCGCGGGGCCTGCCCAGGCGGGACGCGGGCGAGCCGCGCACCCGTCGCGATTTTGAAGTGGGCGTCTTCTTCGCGAAGCGGGGCGAGCTGGGGCTGATCGCGGGCGCGAGGGCGATCAGCCAGGCTCTGAAGCGGCCCACCTCTACCCACTCGGCGCCCAGGGCGGAGGTGGCGGGGCTGGGGGCGGAACCAAGCGACCAGTTGGAGCTCTCTATCCAGGACGTCGCAGACTGCTCCTACCAGTTCAGGGCGCCAGACAACGCGGCGCCGCGGTTCGGCACGCGGCCGCTGCGCGCCCGCGAGCTGGAGCTGAAGGAGGCGCGGGGCAGCGCGGCGGCAGCTGGGGCCTGGGCCCATCCGCTTCTCAAGGCGCCGCCAATGGGGTTCTCGCGGGCCGCGCGCTGGACTCAGCTAGCACATCGGCAGCTTCTGCGACGAGGAGGGATCGGGGGCATCGAGGGCGAGCCGGTGGATCGCCAAGCGGCGCCGGAAGTGTCGGCCAAGCCCGCGCCGCGCGCGGTGCACGTAGACAACGAGACGCTTGGGTCGTCGGCGGCTGGGGGCGCGAAGTCGGCGCGCGGGCAGGCCGCGAAGGCGGCGGCAGCGGCGAGGCCCCCCTTGCACGAAGTGGAGGAAGGCCAGGCCGCGGTGGAGGCGCTGGGGCTGGAGCTGGACGGCGTCTGGCCTTGGGCGCGCCAGGCTAAGGCGAAGCGCTGGCGGCGGCTGCCAGGCGCGCGAGCGCTGCTGAGGCGACGGAGAGTGGCGGGCCCGGAGGTGGAGAAGCTGATAGGCCATTTCACGCACGCGACGCCGTTGAATAGGCCCGCCCCGAGCGCCTCCAGGTCGGCGCGCGACTTCGCGAGGCGCCACTACCCGAAGCCAGCCTTCCTGTGGCCATCGGTGCGGAAGGAGCTCGTCAATGCCATGAGCCTGCTGCTGCTGCCCCTGGTTGAGTTCAGCCTGTCGCGGTCCGTAGCGGCGACCTGCTCGGGCGCCACGCCGATGGGGCCGCGCCGCGCAGGACGCCGAGGTGGGCCCCACGGCGGCGCGCGAGGTGGGCCGCTGGAGCGAGCGCCGGCGTTTCCGCATAGAGCAGGCGCGGCGCCCAAGGGAGTCGGCGCCCGGCGTCGCTGGCGGCGAAGACTTAAGATGCCACAAAGGTCGATCGTCCTCCCGAGCCCCATCGGGCCGAGGAGGGCCCGGAGGAGGTCCGTCTTGAAGGACAGCGCCCTCGGAGGCCCCCCGATGGGTTCGGCGCGGCTGGGCGAGCAAGAGGTCTCGGGCGGGAACTTCTTGGGTGGCATCTTGGGACTCGACCTGGGCCTCGACAAGTATGCGATGAAGACGGCGGGAATCTCGGAGAACTCGCCGCAGCTCATCTTGGACCTCCCTGCGCGCCTAATCTCGGGCGCCTGCGGGAAGTCTCGGGGCCTCAGGGGGCGGAGGTAGAGATCGCCATTGACAAGCAGTTCCCGGGGGGCCCAAAATTGCTCGTGGAGGGGGCTACTTGGAGGACAATTCAATCGCGGAGATATCACAGGAAGGAGGCGATTCACTCAAAGGAGTCGCGCGCAATCTTGTTCGGTTCGAGGAGAAAGTGTCGGCGGCGCAAGCATCATCACAGTCGCCACCTGTTCTTGCGTGATAACATGGGGATGGTCCTGAGTTTGTAGAAGGGCCGAGCGGTCTCGCATCCTGCATTCGTTATGCCCAAGAAGTGGGTAGCCATTTGCCTGGCTACTTTCTCCCGCACCAGTGTGCGATGGGTTGCCAGCGAGCTGAATCCTTCGGGTGAGCCGAGAAAGCGGCTGCTGCTGCGCTGGGGGCCTAGCGGCGGGAGGCAGCCGAAGGGCGCTCGAGCGCCGGGCGCGAAGGCTGGCGCGCGCGCGCCTGGCAGCCCGCCGCGGGTGGAGGCGCCGACAGGGCGCGACCGCGCCTGGGTCGCCCCTGGCGGAGCGGGCACCGCAGTGGCTCGGCAGCTCGCTAGGCCGCGAGGCGCCGGCGGGGACGCAGAGTGCGGCGCGGGCGCTTTCGCCGCGCCCTTCGCGCAGAGCGGGGGCGGGCCAGGAGTGCTGGACCGAGCCGCGGCGCCCTTCATCGACGAGGCGTCGCCGACCCCCTGCGCCCCAGAGCGACCGCCCCCAGCAGCCGCCCCTCGCGGACGCACGGGATCGGGCCAAGGACCGCTCGAGGGACCTGGTGGTCTCACCACGCCGCTGGAGGAGGGGGGCGTCACGCTCAAGACCAAGCAGGACTACCAGAGGAGGCTGGCGCGGTTCAACGATTTCTGCAGGACGCACGGGCTCGGGACGGGGAGCGACGCCTATCTCGAGGAGGCGCCGGTGGAGCACGTGGACTCGCTGTTCAGCGAAGAGGAGCCGTCCAACAGCGGGGCCAAGCTGATGGCAGCAGGGGGGCATCGCGACCCGCGGCTTCACCATGCTGGGCGACCGCTGAAGCTGCCCCGCGTGGCAAGGGCTCTGCAGGGCTGAAGGCGGTTGATGCCTCCCGTGACGCGGGCTCCCGCGCCTTTGGCAGCGGTGGCCGCCGTCGCCCTGGCCCCGGTCAGCCGCGGGCTGAGGCGCGCCGCGCTCGGGGCGACGCTGGCGGCCGACGCGCGCCCGCGGCCCCGCGAGCTGCCGTCGCCGCGGGCCACCCACGCGGCCCCCGCCCAGCCGCTCGCGGGCGGCGACTTCCGCCCCACGTCGCTGGCGTCGAGGCCCGAGGAGGGGAGCGCGGCAACCAAGACGAAGAGGTTCAACGACTCGATCGGCCTTGGAACAAGGGCGCGCTGGGCCGTTCGACTGGCTCCGCCGCGACCTGGGCCTGCTCCGACGCCGCCGCCCGCCTCTGATGCCTGCCGCCCCTATTGCCTTGAGCTGTTTGCAGGATCGAAGGGTATGTCGCGCGCCTTGAAGCGTTACGGATGGGACAACGAAGCGTTTGAGATCCGCGGCGCCGTTGATCAGGACTTGAGTAAAGAGCGAGTGGTTCGCCGTGCACTGGCCACGTTGCCCAAAGCGCAGCACGTTCATCGCGGCGCGCCTTGCGCTAGTTTTTTTTCCCCAGGCGCGCGACGCGACAAGCTGGGCTCACTTGGCGGGCCCCTGCGCTCGCTTCATCGCCCCGCTGGCTTCCCCCACCTCAGCCCTCCTGATGCCGACAAGGTGCGCGCAGGGAATCGCATGTTGCACGGCCCCATGCGCATAATCCGAGCTTGCATGCGCATCATGTGCATTGCGTCAGTTGAAAGTCCGAGGAATTCGTGGTTGTGGAGGCAGCCTGGCATGAAGCGTTTGTTGCAGCATGCGCCAGTAACACACACACACACACACACACACACCGTGCATTGTCGACTTAGCACGGCGTGGAGGAAACAGACCACCATCGCCTGTTGGGATAGCAACCGTCACACCCTTGCGCCATGGAGCCCCGTTTGTCGTTTCACTGGCAAACGCCACCAAGTGCTGGAGGGAAAAGCACATGGTGGGCGGCTGTGGGCGCAAGCTGCCGAACCTGATCCTCCTCGCCTCCTCCTTCTTTCTGGTCGAAATGCGCGAATCAAGCCTGTCGCAATTTTGATGAGGCATCATCTAAGGTATGAGCCGCCTCAACCGCCAGGTCGCAGTTATTGGCGGTTGGTGGCAATATTGTTCTTGAAGGCGAGCTAGCTCCTCAAGTTAGCTCGCAGTTTGGCTTTAGCCTGTCGCGAAGCGACCCCAGCGTCACTGCGAGAATAGTCCTGGCCCTGTGGTAAAGAGGTGCATGTAGCAGCGTTGCGAAACGGGGACACCATAGTGTAACAGAGCGCGCAACGCTGCTGTGCACATGTCTGGCCGCACCACTGCGGCTTAAACGGTTGTTTTCGAGCTCTACGCCAGTCCATTCCGTGCCTCGTCAGCATGAATGTATCTGATATTCTTTGACGGAAGCTTACACGCAAGACTGTTATTGAAGGCGAGCATGCTCTTCAACTCGGCCCGCAGTTTGATTTCAGCCTGTCGCGAAGCGAGCCTGGCATTACTGCGAGAATAATCATGTCCCTGCGATAAACAAGTGCATCATCCTCCTCCACTTCCTCCTCCTCCTCCTCCCCCTCCTCCTCCTCCTCCTCCCCCTCCTCCTTTTCCCTCCTCCCCCTCCTCCTCCTCCCCCTCCTCCTCGTCCTCCTCCTCATCTTCCTCCCGTCTTTCGCCCTACCCCACTGTGCGCGGCGCCGCGTCCGAGTCTCGGCACAAAGAATGCCCGTCCTCATGAGTATTCCTGCACGCTTCGTGGGCGCCTCGTAGGCGCCTCGTGCGCTCGCTGGCTGCACGCCGTAGCTTGCACCACAGCTTCCACCACATAGCCTGCCTGCACCACATACAGTGCAGTAAGCAGCCTGTATCACATGGATTGCACAGACAACATTCACCACATAGCTTGCACCGCCGATGTTGCACCACACAGCTTCCACCATACAGCTCTCACACCCAATGTGCACAGCTCACTTCCTGGGGGCCCCGCTGGCAAACATCCCTCCTCGCCCCCAGCCTGCAGTCAAAATCTACAGCAAGGATCACGTGTTTCGTCGAGTCGAGGCTGCCCCTGCAACCCTGCCCCTGCAGCCCATCCTTGCCCATCATTGCTGACTGTGCGGGGTTGATATTGATCGGCATGGGCGTATAACGTTCTGGCGCCCTCACCTTGCACCCTTACTGTGGACATCGAGTGCAGCTGGCCGTCTCTGCTGCCACTTGAAGCGTTCCAGAGAAGGCCTCGCATTCGGCGCGTCTCGCCCCCGGCGGAGGCCGGCGGAAGGCCGTCGGAAGTATAGCGACGGCGTGTCTAAAAACGTAGCGGCAACATGTTTGGATTCAAGGTTGTTCGACGGCGAGCGAAGGTGGGAAGTGAGAAGGAGAAGGCTTTCTCAGAAGGCGGCGGGAATTTTCAGAAGCCCTCGCACCTTCTGGGAAGTTGTCTGTGTCTTCGGGGAAGGCGTAGGAAACCTCTCAGAAGGCCGGGGGATTTCCGAGCCTTCTGAGAAAGCCCGCCCCTTCTCATTGCCCCCCCGCGCTCGCCGCCAACGAAAACGATGCGTCAACATGTTTGGTTTCGGGGTTTCCAGACTCGTCGATTCGGTTGCGCCCGAGTCGGGGCGTTTGGGCGGCGGCAAGCTGATGACGCAGGTGGACTACGAGACTCTCAAGGGTGACGCCGTTGAGTCCAAGTTCCCGCTGCTGTTCCGCGAGCCTTTGGCACACCGTGACCGCAAGGCCTCCCCACACTTGAGGAGAGGAGGAGGAGGAAAAGCAAGGACAGCGCTGTGTCGTATAGTGGCGAGCCATTGAAGCTTTTGTTGTTGTGGATGTCAGGTACGCGCCAAGAGGGAGGGCGGGGAGGAGGAGCAGCAGGAGGAGGAGGGC